TACCTTACCAAAAATACAAAACATAAATAAACAGACACACACACATAAACTAGCTGTGTTGGGTTTACTAAACTTTTATTAACTATATCAAACTTTATAGGTTTGTATTCAAGATATAGTAGCCAAATCACATGAGGAACAACCTCAAAAAATACTATCCTTGAGAATAGTTCCGATAAATATCATGAACAGCATGCAAAGAACCATCCAGACCAGCTTAGAGCAAGAGATCAGCGGACTGCTTCTTTACTAGCTGCACAGTTCAGGATGGCCTGCAACTAGCGTCACCCGTTGCCGCAGCTACACCTCTGTCAGGGGAGGAGGCCCTTGCGAACAGCGCCCCATGCCACTCAATATGATGTCATGGCTGCTATGGATGATACCAAGTGAACGGTGCTGAGACTTCAGTGAGCACTGAGGGGACAGAAAGAAAGCTTCTGCAGCAATCCCCACCTGTTTCTTAATCTCAGCTGCTGTCTATCTTCTTGAGGCTGATTCCGGTCCTCTCTAAAAACAAACAACAAACATATTAACACCATAACCAAAATATTTACCAGTATGCCACTGCTATTCGATAAAAAGCACAGCATATGCTGTTTTCTTTTTTTCATTCTGCTGTGGGGGCCCAGGATCTGTCATCTGGTGTGAGTCTCCATTGGGTGTGGACATGTTGGCGTGTCTTTTCTCTCGGCAGATCAGCGGGCGTTGTTCATCGTGTTGTGAGGGTCTGCATCGCTGGATGACAATGACCGATGATGGATTTACATCGTGAAACATTTTTCTGTTTCTATAAAAATGACTTGTCAAAGTGTTTGGTGTCGTTTTTTTTCTATTTATATTTTTGTTTGTGACTGAATAGAGGTTTTATGTATCCATTACTCATTCATATGGGGGGGTGGTGTCCGACGGCTTCCAGATTCTAATAAGCCAGGCAACCCAGAGCGCACATAGTATGTAGCTTCATATTATTCTGTATTGCTGTATAATGTATTTTTGAGATTTGTAGTCTTCTATAGCTGGTTGCCATACGGTATTGCTGTATAATGTATTGCTGGGATTTGTAGTCCCCTATAGCCAGTGCCATCCTGCATTGCTGTATAATGTATTGCTGGGATTTGTATTCCTCTATAGCCAGTGCCATTCTGCATTGCTGTATAATGTATTGCTGGGATTTGTAGCCCCCCTTGTCCCTCATGTTGCAGAAAAGTAAGACCTGAACAAGAATATATAATAATTCTGCCAGGGTTCAACTTTATCACACTGTCATGTTATACAGAGACACAGGTTACCAGCAAGTTGAGTATAAGAGCTCTTATTTTGCAGGACACTTTCATCTTGATATTTTTTCCCAAGCTGACAGGTTTGCATTTAAGGGCAGAAATACTTAGAAATAAGCGGTATGAAAAACTGCTTGTGCTTTCATGCACATGAATCTGTCGCAAAGTCTGCCTTGTGCACAGGTTTCAAGAATGTGCGGCCGAGCATCCCACCAATGACACTGTGCAACTGTGCCTGATTGGTTGCTAGGACATTGGCAGCCTCTGAGCTGCCGGCATCCTAGCAACCAATGCAGCCAAGCCACATTGGTTGCTAGAATGCCAGATGCCTTTGCCTCACTGATGTCCTAGCAACCAATGATGTGCGGCTGAGCCTAATTGGACGCTAGAACAGTGGGAGCAGTACCAAGCAACTAATTACATTTTGAGGCCAAACCTGATTGGTTGCTAGAACACCAGAGGCCATTGGCTTGCTGGTGGCCTACCAACCAATGACGTTGTGTGGCCTGAATGGTTTCTGAAATGCTAGAGGCCATTGGTTGGCTGGTGTCCTAGCAACCAATGATTTGCAGTTTCGCTTGATTGGTTGCTAGGACAGCAGCGTTGGCATCTTAATAACCAATGACTTTGTCCAGCTGAGCACCTTTAGTTGCTAGGACACTAGCGGACACAGTGCTGCCCGCATCCTACAACATAGGAGGGACAAACTCTTCACTGCCATCAAATTACTGCAGAACAGCATTTTTCTTATTTACCATCACATTCCTTATCTCCTAAACAGCAGTATTTTGCGCAGTGTCCCCTTTATCAGGCTCAGTACTCATAGTGAGCCTGATGAAGGGAACCCTGCAAGGCCCTGAAACATTGCTTCAATGTGACAACATGGGTCAATAAAGGACGAGCACTTGACCACATTATCCGGTGTGCTGATGACACTTTGTTCTCAGTTTGATGCCTGTGACGCAATCTGCAGTCACTTCAGCACCCACCTTCAGGGGTTCTTTGGTAAGGAGCGCGGCAGGACATCTTAAGGACTCCACGACCATACTGGCAAAGCAAGGGAATTCACTTCCCTGCTCCCTACTCTGTGTTCCTTTCTCTTCTTTCTCCTTTCCAAGCTAGTAGATGGATGGCTGCCGGAGTCTGCTCTGTCCCTTGTGATCTTGTGCTGGACAGGAATTTCAGGGAAGCCAAGCTAAAAGAGCTGGAGCCAGCTTTTCTGAAATATGATGACTGTAAGTGCTAGGACAAAATGTAAAGAAATAACTTGCTGGGCAATTTGTTTGATCTGAATTCATTATCGAGCAACAAGATTTAGAGTTTAAAGGGATATTAAACCCTTGCATGTTTTTGCATATATCTACTTCTAGCAAGCAGTAGATATATGCAAAACGATTTTTAAAAAAACGTTTTCAAAGGGTTAATACTTACCTGTGTCTCGGCTGCACACTCCCGTCTGAACATCGGAAAATTTCTTGGGCGGCCACAAAGGATCTTGGAACAGGCACATGCGCAGTTCAGATGTCCGGCCGGGAGACGAGGAGAAACACAAGGTAAGTCTAGGTAGCAGCGTGCACCCGCACAGACTCTGGGACATCAGAGAAGAGGAGGAGGACAGAGGAGTCAGCGCTGGATCGGAGAACCGCAGCAGTGCTGGAGGGACAGCTAAAAACTACAGGAAAGAAGATGATCGGATTAAGAGGCATCATTTAAGGCAGTGATTCTCAACCTGTGTAACCTCAGGACCCACATTTGCCCGCGGTCATTAAGTCGCGACCAAAGTCGCACTGCAATGGAACGCCCGGCAGCGTGGGCTGCTGTGCTGTGATGGAGTGCCATCCATATGTGTATTGCTTGTGCAGCTCACATGTGCATCTGTAGAGGTGTCGGGAGCCAGAATGTGATGTCACTCCTGTCTAGGCACCTCCTATAGGACATGCGAGGGAGCTATAAGCTATGCATGTATGGATGGAGGTCCCTCGCGGCCATACCCCCAGCCCACCCCACCTCAAGTCAACACTCGGCAACATATTTTGAATGGCTGCTCGGTGTAAGAACTGACAGTGCTGCGCTAGGGGGAGGCTGAGAAGCCTCTCGCCTAGAAAAGTGGAAGGCATGCAGTGACCCACTGAACATGGGGTCGCGACCCACTTTTGGGTCAGGACCCACCAGTTGAGAACCAAGGATTTAAGGTAAGTCTTTACGTTTGCACTGTGGGGGGGAGGGGGGACTTTTGCCCTTGATGTCACTTTAATACTACTTTAACCCTTTCGCTGCCACCGACGTATCTCAAACGTTGCTGGCAGCAGGCCCATTTAAAAAGACTGTAAACTCTGTTTACATGTGTAAAGCTGACTGTCAGCTTTACACTGGAAGTGATTCTGGAGGCTTAGCTGCATGCCCCTGCCTTGCTTCCAAAGCTCTGCTGCCCCTCCTGCGGGCCTGTTATGGCATGTTGGGTGTTGGCGGGAAGCGGGGAAGGAGACAGAAGAAAATCCCTTCACTGGTCTCCTCCCTGCTTTATGGGAGCGGAAGCGACGCTTATTGCATCACTTCGGGTCCCTCAGATGTCATTGCTCGGCAATAAGCTATTGGAGTGCGATCTGTGCTCCAATAGCTTCTTTGGAGTCCAAAGGTGACACTAGGGGTCTAATTGACCCCTAATATCACCTTAGAGAGTACCTCTCACCACTAGTGTGCTATCACATAGTCCCCCGCAAGCATTAACGTAAACATGTGTGGTGTGCGCCTATGTACGAAAACAACAATCATGCTACACGTTAGGTATAGCCGTGTGTGCCACAGTGAGAACAATAATTCTAGTGCCAATATTCACTGATATCTCTAACCTAATCACCTGTATGGGCTTTTAAAGAGTTGCCTATGGACAATTTGGTGTACCGCATTTTGTTGCAATTTCACGGACGCACGCAATTTTTAACCTGGGCATGTTGGGTATTTACTCGGCATAACCTCCTCTTTATTATTTTATAAAATGGGTATTATATTGTGCCCACTACTTACTGTGCCCTCCTCCCAGCATGGAGGAGAGAGCTAGGGGATCCAACCAACTAAACGATAATGAGAATAATTGACAACTATTCTCATAATCAATTAGTTGGATGCAGCCCTAATTATAACATGTGCAAAAAGGTTTAAACAAACTAATGTCCTATGAAAACTCTATATCGTCTCCCGAGTAGTATGGAGCCCGATCCGCCGTGTTAATCCTTCACAAAAGGCACACACATTCATTTTCCACACATGAAAGCCAGTCAATGATCCTTGAGGGTATCTGCTCACCTTGAGACACAGCGTATTTGTAGAACAAATCTGGGAAGCGTAAAGGTCAATATTTACTAAACCAAACAGAAAAGTTCAAGAGCCGCAAGTCTAAGAAGCTGCAACAAATAACGGATTTCACTGTGAGTTTTATTATCCCCCCCCACAGACTCTGATCTGATACTGAAATATAAAACCTTCATTATAAAATAGTGAACCTCTGAGTATAGAAACAAAGCAGCTGTTATGATTAGGAAATCTGCAGAGTTCTGTTTGTGGATGCAGCTGCACAGCTTTCACTCTGCATGCACTTTGATGCAGCAAGATGGTTTATTATTATTAATATTGATGATGATGATATTGTCATCTCAGCACGTTTAGTATCAGGGTAGCCCAGATCCCTGGCAGCGATCCCAGCATGAAATAAAAGGAGAGGTGTGATCGTACAGCGGGCACCCGAGTGCCAAGCCAGCAACTTATAAGATCACCCCACGTGGCTTTAGCTGAGTCTCTTTAAACCGGGGCCGGATGTGCCCTCTCCTCCTCAGGCAGCCACCAATCACAGGCGGCTCGGCGAGCTCTGCTGACGCCAGTTCCTTTGTGTCTAGCCGGCAGGCTTGAAGAAGAATTCTGACACAAGCTGCTGGAGTTCAGGCGCCGGTCCCTTTAAATCAGCGCCGAGTGTCGGTGGGAGGCGGTACACGATGCCCTTTGACTTCAGGAGGTGAGTGATGGGGGCACCCTGCACTGGTCCCGGGGGGGGGGGGCGGGTATGCATTGCACACACTATCCTCCATCCTCACTCAATTAATGACAAGCTGCAAGCTTCTCCATATCTGGCTCATCAGCCAGGGCATCTGTATAGAGCTCTGAAGGTGTGTTGTGTGAATGGTATGGAGGGCAATGCATATAGCTTTCTGTACATTGAGGAGAATTTACTGAGATTGGAGCAGCTATGCATGGCAACCAATCAGCTTCTAGCTTTCATCTTCAAAGCATGACTGAACAAGCTGATTGTTTACTAAGCACAGCTGCTCTAGATTACGTCTTCTGCACTGTGAGAGGAATGTATCAGAATCTGGAGCAGTTGCCCATAGTAACTAATCAGCTTCTCTCTTCAGTTTGTTCAGTTATGTTTTGAAAATGAAAGCGAGAAACTGGTTGGTTGTCATGGGCAACTGCTCCAGTTCTGACATTTCTCCTCACCGCACAGGCGTGTTCAGTTCCTCAGCCAAGCGCTGAGTAGGTGTTCTGCAGCACTTAATTTTGCTGCAGCATCTTCACTGAACATTTCGGCTGCACAGTGCTGAGCAAAATGGCAGAGGATAATATTTGTGACTAATAAATACCATTTTCCATAGAATATTTTTTGTGTTCATCCACCAAAACATTAATTTGTAGATTCCCACACTGAATTGATTTCATCCATTGTTGTTCAGGCAACTTTCTCCAAGCCTGCCAGGTGTGCCCACAGTTAAAATGGCCGCTGGTGCTCTCTCCCCACCTTCTCCGTCACATTCAGCACACTTCATCCACATTCACTTCTGCTGCCAGTGCTAAGCTAGCGGTGCTGAGCGCTGACTTGTAGCAGTGTTCAGCGGTGGTTTGCTAACTTAGCACTCGAAGCGCCTGAGCAACTGAACACACCTTAGGGGTGGACAACTCCGGCCCTCCAGCTGTTGTGGAACTACAAGTCCCATGAGGTATTGCATGACTGACAGACATGAGCATGACTCCTGGAGGCAGAGGGTTGATAGGATTTTTAGTCAAAGCTAAAAGGACAGCATGCCAGGATACAGCGCTACACTTGAGGGGTTAAATTGGAGATATGTTGAGTTTCCTTGTACGGTTTGAGCAGCTTCAAAAGCGTATGGACCGGGGTGTCCAACCGAAGAGTAAGTTAAACAGAGAAGGGAAGGGAGAAGCGCTGCAAGCCGAGTAGGGAACAGGGCGATTTTTTGCTGAACCTTGTAAGGGGGGGAGAGGGGGGGCTGGAAAACTGGGAGCTAATATAAGTTCCCAAACTTCCGTGGTTAGTCCAATTAGTTCGAGTGTGGTCCCAAAAATAAAAAACATCAATTGTGGAGGTAAATGAAATGGCGTGTACAAAAAGAGAAAAAATCTAGGGACTTACCCTTAGGTAAAAGATATTACGTGCTCATCGACGGAGGGTGGAGTTTGATGATGCTGGTGTCGCACGGGTTCCAGTTTGCCAGGAGTGATGTCTGTTCTCCAAAATCTTGTAAACGGAAGTTGGCGAGGAGGTGTGGGTGAAGTATTCTTTGCTTTGCTTGCCTAGGGTGAGGGGTGTTTGCGGGATCAGTAGCGAGGGGTAGAGGTGGATGGTTGCGGTGTCTGCAGTGTCTTGACTGTGACCTTGCGTTGGAGGGATGTCTATTTTCCCATTGCTATTAATATAACCACTTCATCGGTGATGAGACCCTGTGGCTGGTTGGTTGCTGACAGGGAGGGGGACACAAGTGGCTCGTGTTTCCACAATCCTGAGGCTGAAAGACCTGGTGCTGTGGTGGTGGGCAGTGGCTAAGCACTTGAGGTGGGGTGCCCCGGTTCGTATCCAGAACACCCTTACAAGGTTCAGCGAAAAATCGCCCTGTTCCCTACTCGGCTTGTAGCGCTTCTCGCTTCCCTTCTCTTTTTAGTCAAAGCACAGCTGGAGTGCTAGAGTTGGCCAACAGTATTTATATGTCTTGGACATGGGTGCAAAAAAATGCGGTTTTTAGATCTGTGCTGCATTTTTTTACACCTCCTGAACGCAGCTTTATAAGGGGGTTTTCACACCAGCAAGCTGTGCTGAACGCATGGATGCGTTTGTGCTGATGCATCTATCATGGCTTTACTTTTTTCTTTGTTCGAACAAGTTTCATTTAATTCATTTCTAACAGCCATGATGTGGTGCAGTGCAGTTGTACTATATCACGTTACGCAGTACTTTTTTTTTGCAGCGCACATTACCACAACACAGTGGCGTGAACTAGGTGTGCGCAGCCCCAACACGTGGTGTGAATGGGCCCTAATAGCCAGTGTACATGCACATTGTGGGGTGTAAATCTGTAATCTTTAACAGTATTCAGAGGCCTAAAAAAAACAACCCCAAATCTTGGCTTAGGGAGGAGCCTACTGGCATAAATCACACACATAAACATGTGTAAGTGCACATGTGTATTCATTTTAGTGGCTGGAATAAAGAAACATTGTAGCTTCCAGAATGAATGTACATGCATATGCTTCTAAACCCGGGCTGGATATATCTCAGGAGCCAGGTAGTCAATGTTACTGAAAAATTACAACTGGTACATAACTTTTGAGGTGGTTGTCATTGGAGCTGGCTCCTAAATATTTCCCGCTGGCACCCGGATTGGACAGATTGGCTCCTGAATTCCAGATTCATTTGTCCACCTCTGTTCTAAACGCAAGTACTTTATGCACCATTAAGGTCCCCACAAACCTAACGATAATTGTACGATAATCGCGGGAATCCCACGATCGTACAAATATCGTAAGGTGTGTGGAAGCCGTGTGACCTCTACTACTGTAAGGTCACACGACTTTAAACTTACGAACATGTTTCAAAACCCGCCGAGCATCGTACGATGTTCGGCGGGTGTGTAGCATGTTCGTAAGATAAAAGCCGGACGGGCCGGTGTGCGCAAGCGCACACTGCCCGTTCGGCATTGCGATCATCGGAAGCCCGCCCCTCAGGGGGCGTGGTACGATCTGCCTATGCAAGATAGGCAGATCGTACGTTTTTTTAAGTACCTTACAACCATCGCAAGGCAAAAGTCTTGCGATGGTTGTAAGGTGTGTGCCCAGCCTTACACATGTCTGTCGCACTGAATTTTTCTGGCAGCAAGATCCAGCGTAGATATGAGTATCTGCACTCGTGTGTAATGCACACTACAGGATATGATTGTGAACATATGATGAAGGTGGGATGTTTGATGTATGATCCAGCTGGCCAGTCAAGCAATATTCCAAATGTAATCTTTCAAAGCTTCCCAGATCTTTGATGTGGTGACTACATTAGTTTTTACTTGGTGGTCCTTCCAGAAACACACTTTCTGTCCTAGGGTGACAACACTCACTCACTTTACTGCACCTGTGGAGGAGCAGTGTTGCCACCCTAGGACCTGAAGTGTGTTAGGACTACAGAAAAACTTCCCCTTTATTTAGCTCCATAACAAAAGAGGGAAAGGTCCTGTTCTAGGGTAACAGCGCTCACTATTTGCACTGTGGGTCGTGGAGAAGGATTTTTGTTACCCTAGGACAGGAAGTGTATTATGGCTGCAGAAAACTTCCCACTTACCTTTCTCCGTAATGTAGAGGGGAGGTCCCCTGCCCTAGGGTAACAATGCTCACTCCTTGTACTGTATCTGTGGAGGAGAAGCTTTTTCATCCTAGGACAGGAAGTGTATTAGGACTACAGAACACCTTCCCTTATTGTCATTTCCTTAACATAAGGGTGTTTTGTTGTTCAGAGGGTAACGTGGACAGGGCTGATAATGCTAGATAACACTGCAGAGAGCACAGGAAGTTGAACAGCTATTGGATTTATGGCAGGATCAAGCATTTTTTTTTTTTACTTATCAAGCAGATATAAAAAAAAACACTTTTAATAGTATATTTAAAAGACCAAAGGGGGGGGGGGGAGTTCATTGTTTGGGTGTACATACTCTGGCTTTGGATATAAAACAGAGCTTGCAAAATAATGCAAGGTTCTCTTACCTTGCAGCCCCCCATGTGAAAACACAAAGTGAGCATTGAGATTTAAAAACTCTGGAAGAAAGCATCCAGCGCACCTCCCTATGTTTTTGGGAGGTCCTAGTAAAAATGACCATCTCGCTTAGATATTAGTTTAAAAATGTTTATTGATCAAGAACCTCAGATGCAACCAACCTGTTTCGGGGGACAGGCCTCCCCTTCTTCAGGGCCTATACAATGATTTGTGGGTTAATCAGAGTGGAATTTGTTGAATAGCCTGAATTGAAGCTATAAATTGAAAGGAGTGTCAGGGTGACCTGACAGAAGGAATCCAGTCAGCTGCCTTCACTTCTGTTCCAACATATACCCAGTATTTGAAGCTCTGAAGAGCCACCCTCAAATGTGATCCGAAAGGTAGAAGCCTAGGGCCTGACTCGGGTCACCACATACCAGGGGGTTTACCTCCTCCAAGGAGAATACCCCTTCCTTTTGGATTCACATCAAAATCAATCTTTATTCCTACTAAGTCCAGGCTACCATATAGCTACCAGTTCCAGCGCAATTGCCTAGGGGAGGATGATGTCACTGGGCCTTCTCTCAGTATTCTGGAAAAGCTGAGAGTACCATATCTTTGGATAATGTTCTCCTACCCAGCACTGGAGCGTCTTCTCATAAGAATTGGAAGACTAGGTGTAAGGTGAGTATTTGCTTCAGTCTCCTTTTTTTTTTATTTAAGTTTTATTTTATTATTGCTTTTCTTATTTTTTTCTATGGGGGGGGGGGGATAGAGCAAACCTTACAAATAGGTGGCTGCTTGAAGTGATGGTGTCAGATGGCTCCATGCCAAAGCCAGATCAAGGGATGCAAAGTCACCAGCACTCCAGACATGTAGTTCCGTGTCAGTTTTATTGTGAAGAAAAGCATCTCAAACGTATGTAAAAACATTTTGGGGCCTCGCAGGGTGCCTTTCTCTAGGCAAAATAGAGTGATTGTTGCAGTGAGAAT